GTGAAAAGCAGCCCGCGAGACCACCAAGACGGGTAGGGGAAAAATATGCCCTTTTGGAGCTTTGGACTCAAACCGGCCGTACAGCTATTAAGTCTGATAACTTCCCTGGTTAAAAATCTCTCGACTCCTCACCTACAGAGGCAGCATAGACATTGTTTGATTGCTTGTGTACAAACCGCCTCAGCCTGTTTAACAACCGTCCATAATCACACTCACGCAGATCTGGTCCACACCGTACGTCCCTGATGCGGAGATATCAACGGACGACTACTATGTTTTTGGGCTGACGCAAAACGAGAGAGGGCTTGTGAGGCTGCTTTTTACTTACGTGCGGCCACGCCCATTCAAGTTGTCCTGCCAGATACCACTCATGCACCTTTTCGCGATGCGCGGTCAGATTCCCTTTTTCTCGGTCTACCGTTGTACCTTGAGTCCTCCTGAAGTTGAACATATCCTCACACGAACATGAGAAACTTTTCTCCAGCCAACAGTTCACTCACCTCCTGCGGGTAGAGGACTTTGACGCTCCCAAGGCCTCCTTGATAGAGCTCCAGCGCGTCGGACCAAGTGGACTTTCTGCAGCGGCATTGACCAGTCATTCATCAGAGCGCTTGGACTAATCATGTCAATGCACCCATCAGATACCGCTCAGGCCTACATCCATCCCTCCTGGACTTAGTCATCACCAACAAAGGGCACTACGTCGATCAGGTGATATATAACGCACCACAGGGACATGCCCTGTTTGAACAAGATTTTGGCAACATGTTTTTTACCGTTGACCCAGCAATCACACAGCAGAGACATGATAAGAAGCTTTTTAAGCTCGGAGTGCACACTTTCATTAGGTAATTTTTCTCATTTCGAGTAATAGCTGTGTGGAATAACCTTTCTCTGAGGGCTGTTCACGCTTCATCTGAAACCTATACAAAGCACTGTTAGACACTTATTTATGCGAGTCCTCGGGCTGGCAAGCCTACTGACACGTACTGGCAACTTAAAGAGCAGTGCTAAGCCCTTGTTGTTTGTGCCTTTCAGGTTAACGACGACCGCTAAACGAAGATAACAAACTGGACCAGGAAAACTCGGGAAAAAGCCTTGTTCCTGTGCATTAATCCCTGAAGAAGTGGTTTACAGTGTGCCGCGTAGAGCATCAGTCCATGCGGGTAAAACGGACGAAGATGCTCCGAATACAGTTTGAGCCTATTTTTATGATGCACTGGAGCCAGACGCCCAAGACCACTTTGACATCTATCCTCATAACGTCCTGTTGTTCATTCTCACCATTCAAGACGAAGGCACTCGCTTATTCTCCGAATGAAATATGGAAGTACCTCTCTTCACTGAGAACAAGGTGCCATTCCAACAACCATTGCTTCGCATCATCTGCATCCACTTAGAGACCACCAGCCTATGAACCCCAGGATTTTACGTCGTCCGCAAAAGGTATATATGGACTTGAGGAACATGGGGAAGTTCGTTAGCGAAGACAAAAACCGCGGTGGTCCCAACACATAGCCTTGATGAACTCCATTAGAAACCGGAGGCGTGGAATATAAGGTCAAGCTTGGGTTTACTGGGAATGCTCTGTCCTCTAGGAGCATCCTCATCCGGCATTTAGCTTCCTCTTGAATTCCATAAGGCTCGAGTTTTCTCGAGCGGTGTGACATGCGGGACTCGATCGAACGCTTTCAAAAATTCAAGCAATGAAGTACCTTATGAGTCCTATGTTCCAAACTTGGGTTAAGCTATTCATCAGTATAAGCATATTCGTCACTCAAGTACTTCTCGGAAAGAATGCATGGATTGACCTTTGTACCGCCAGTTTAAGTTTATGATGCTTGGCAACCTTAGCAATGTTTTTTCTCACCTGACAAAGCATCTATCACCTGCTTCAATTTCGACAGCTCGTTTGGCTGAGGAATGCAACCGTAACCCTCCGATTTCTTATCTGCTTTAGGAAAATTCGTTCTTCGAAAATGCGACACATGCATACTCCTCCGTTACAGGACTGTTAACCTATGTAATAACACGGTTAAGGATACTAAATGCCCTGAGGGGCAGAGAGTGTTTTGATTGCGAATAATCAATCACTTGCCCACAAGCTTTTAGAGTTTGGGACCGAAATTTGCCCGAAGCGTGTTAAAATGATTGGTCGTAGAAATCCCTGAGGAATATCGCTCACGGCAACCGAACAGTCGGATTACGACAACCTATTCCACTACACTGTGTTTTGATTTTATAATTTAAATCATGTGTCTTCATAGTTCACGAAATAGCAGTCGTGAAGCGAGATCAACTAAAATGTTCGGAGTGTTGGTGCTGATGTCTGTAGCAGAATAACACAGATGACCGACCAATGTTAAACACACCCCGTGGATCGTTAGCCGGAGGTTGAGGAACTTCAAGGTCCTGCGTGCAACCTAAGGACTATCTACTTGGAATATTTTGCAGGGAAAAGGTGTGGAAGACATTTTAAAAAATGAATAGCCTGAACAGGCGCAATTGGCCTGGTTTCGCAGGTTTTATTTTGTACAAGTGAACCATTTCGAATTGCTACGGGTGTAACGGTGATATAACTGATGAGGCGGCATCTGAGTAGTATGTCTTCCTCCTGTAAATTCGCTGTGCGTCTCTTGAGAAGGGAAAGCTATTTCGGAATCTGTGGAGTCGCTTTGTAACATTTGCTTGGATTTGAGCGACAGTCAATGAATATCCAGTAAAGTTCAAGAAGACGCGTTCAAGAGACGATAGATATTCATTTTTTCTAAATAAGATGCACATGAGAGTTTTGCTTCCCTGTCCAATAGTCCGTAACTGGTCAGTTAGCATTTTATAATAACTAACCCCGCAGCGAAGACCTTTCATTCGTGGGTATTTTTCCACTCAATAAATGGCGAAGTGATTGACTGTTTGTCTGTTAGCCGAGGCTGGCAACTGGATTGCAAACGCCTCATCACAAATCTAGGTGGCATCATTATTGCGGGCACCCAACCTAGATATTGAAAATCTTCCTGGCTTTAAAAATATAAGAGAGCGATTTGTACCTACCATCAGTAGCGATGTCAAGAAACAAATGGACCTATCGCAGTTACAATAATTTAATACTTTTAAAAAAATTTGATTTATCTGTCCGCCTCATTCCGGGAGATCAGTATGGTTAGTCTTTACTGCCATTACTGGTGCGTCTATGATTGCGCAGCCTTGTTAGCGTTTTGAACAACAGTGCGACATGGTCAGCAGTTCTTGATTATTTAATCGTTATTCGCTGAGTAAATCGGCGTAATGGAATCGATAAACCTTCAAATATGTGAAACATCAACTCCAAGCTCAGGCGGGCGGGGTAGAAAAAGATGTAGTTTAAAAATCTTCAAAGGCATTAGCTCAAATATTGACTGCCTAAGTAAGGTTACGTAATGGTAATTTGACTGCTTTATTTCACCAAAGCAGATTATTCGGCTACTATTTATTACCTCTCCGTCAGTATCGTATATGCACGTGTTTTATATGCTTACTTTATTTACAATGGTACGGAAAGTTGTAGACCGCGACGGACTCACTCCTCAGTAGTATCCGTCTTGTGGGTGCGCATCAACAATGGTAACGATTTCGGGCATTCTTGCACGACTTGAATAAAGTTCTCGAAGGTTTAGTCGAATTTTAACAAACCAGGAGTTAAGAGTCTTTCCTGATTGGTTGAGATTTGGGCAATAACCTAAGGTGCTGCATGATGCCAATGTCAGTATCAGTGAAACCATACAAAAAGCATGCACAACTAACCCACCGATTTGTCGCTGTTGACGACTAAGTTCTAATCGTGGGCGGCTACACAACCGTGAAATTACCCTAAGTGGGTTGCCACCTTGTGGTTCTGGAAAGACTACCTACAAAGCTCAGAATAGCACAGTGGTTAAGGCACAAGTTTACTAACTGGAAGGTATGTGCTTCGAATGCAATGGCAACTCCCACCTAGCCTGGAAAACCGAGAATATTATAGTCCTCGTACTTTCTTCGGGTTGAATTGCACCTGGTAAACGGAGATTGGTCAAAGTTGACAAATGCTTGTTTTTGCGTAAGACATACATTTTGCTCAAACTTATTGTTCAAAATACCACAATTTAGTCCCATGGTTACAAAAGTAGTTAAATATTAAATTTGTAGGGCAAAATGTTTGAACCGGAATTTCGCCCCTATTTTCATGAAGTGACCAAATGTCCATAAAGCTACTGTGAATCAGCAGTTGGAGGGTACCCAAAGGGTTGGAAATAAGCCGAAATATGCATTTAGTTGCGACAAATACACTCATTTGCAAATCAACTTAGGTGTCACGCGAGACTCAAATAAATCTCCCGCTTATGATGTTCTTCAGTTGAATGTGCCGCTTCAGGTTTTCACTGGCACACTAGTGTAGCTATCGCAGCATATTTTCATGAAGGAAACTACTCACGAGGTTGGTGTGGAGGAGTTTTCAGCAACCCCGTTTTCCGTTCCTTTATGATCTACTTAGTTGATTATGTAAGCCACATTGGATATGAGGTAAACTGATTGCAGGTTACGCACCTGTTGTCAAGATAAGCTTAACAGAGCCATAAATCTTTATGGGTGCGCAGCGTAAACCAGTTTTTGAAAGTAGCGGAATGATTCACTCACGCAACAAAGCAGCTGCAACCGGAACAGAGGCGCGAACACTATTGTAAACAATGATTACATTGATGTGTTTGGTGTAAATAATACCTTCCACCCCGGAACTAATTTGCTTACGAAGGTAAGCCAGAGTTTATGCACATTCAGCATTTGATATATTCGATTTTTCTAAATATTTTGGAGATGCGGAGGAGTTTAGGGCAAATTGATCTAACATCCGATTAAATATTGCCACAGCATTTCAGGCAAGAAACTGTGAGCTATAAACAAATAATTTTGTAGAACACACACTTACATGACTCGTTTGAACAATCGTCCCGGTGAATCCACACCACGCTGGATTTTTACGTTCCACATTACTCAAGCGCAAACAAGTTCACCTTTTCAAACGCAAAAGTCGGGATGAGTCCGACGTCCACTGGTGGAGTAGCGGTAACACGCTCGCGTCGCATGTCAGATGTGCTGAGTTCAATTCCCAGCACAGCCACTGGATATTCTCTCTGATGAGCTCCAAAAAGAGCGAAACTGGAATCCAGTGCTTTTCCCTCTTAGTGTGGACTCACCAGCACGATTGCGCGAGGACAGGAGCACGATCTTTCAGACGAGAGTCATGTGAGTGTGTTCTACAAAGTCTCGCAACCACGAACAACTGGAATAATTTTTTAAAGCTGACAGACAACATGACGGTTATCAAGGTTTAGGCTCAAATCTTATATATGTCATGCATTTCTAGTAATCAGCTACATACCGCGACAAAAAGGCAACAATATTTCTGGAACGTGACGGGTGTTTGTGTTCCTTGCGTTAAAATCAACCGTAAGAGTGGTTCTTTCGTGATCAAGGTATAAGATACTCAGCTTGAGACTGTTTATATTATCCGACAAGCGTTTTATTCACATTTTTCATTACATGGCGTACACGAATAGTTAATCAAACAGGTTAATGAACACAGACAAGGTGTATTTTTCAACCATGATCTCACAGAAATTTAGCACTGATATTCACATGATTTAACACTATTCCTTGTTCACTGTTAGCCAGATGACGGTTCTGATTTCTTAGAAACTGAGCACGAATTCATTTTGTGTAGTAGTCGATTTACGTTCTTCACACTCAAGGTAGTGTTAGGCCGCGGTGGGCTCATGTCACCGTAGAAGAATTTTATAAACTAAGAATGTATAGCTCAGGATATATTCACCTCGAATTGAAGGACGGTTGCCAAATATCGAATGCAAAACTGACTGGAAGGAACGGGATACTAGAGTCTACAGCACCATAATCAAAGGTTAAATTAACTGTACTGCAAGTGCTTTTTTAAAGAACTGAATACAGGAATTTAGGGGCGTTAAGCACTGCTCGTTCGGTAATTAATTGTTGGGTGTTTACCACAGTTGACCACGGCACAAATAAGGGTGATATCTTGCTCAGCTGTGACATACAAACGAAATAGCGCTACAATTTGTAGACGCACTCGAAAATTGCCCAGAAATCTAAAATCAACTTACACTATCCGTTTTCATTAGCTCCTAACATAATGTTAACGAAAATCGCTTCATTTAAACTTATGCTTTCTTCTTTTCGTTTTGTAGCTCACCAAATGTCTGCGCATCTTGTCAATGGAACACTTATGGGCACATGCTAGAAGTACGACTCAGAATATCGAAACCAAATAAAAGAGCAAGGAATAGTTCATTACGAAAAACAGTTGAATGGTACGTGAATCTCGATAGATTGTCAACGTCGCTTTCTGCCCCTGTTCTGTAGATCTTTTTCACTGAAAGACCGCCCCCGAATAACCTCCCGAATGAGAAGTTTATGATACCACTGTGCCTTTAAATGTGGTACATGACATTTACCGAAGAGACTTTTAGCGGAAAAGAATCACTTGCTTTTTTATGGAGACCGGTGGAATCGTTGATCCCTACCATCAATGTTTAATAGCTGTCTTTTTGGTCGATATTTTGTGGTAGATCAGGTGATTTGACGCAAACAGACGGATGCACTCAGATATCACTGATATCAAGGCTATCGGGCAAAATTAGGAAACTAAACTTTGATGAATCTCTTTCGAGTGTTCTCCTCAGATTAGCTAGCAATGCACCAGGCTGTCTTTGCATATAAGCCGGCTTGATGATGGCGTAATCATTTTTCGTTGGTAATTGGAAGAAATTTGGTAATTTAAACTAGGGTTTTTTTCCCTACAAGTGAAAACAATTTATGTTGAAAGCCTAAGAAACATCGTAGAGCTCTTTCATCCTTATTGGGAATTATAAGCAGTGCACATCTCGCGAAAAGCCAGGGACCTCTCGGCTGGTAGTCTGAACACTCAATCGTTCGGCTGCTAGCAGCTGACCAGTAGTCTGATTAACTAGCATTTAGGATAGATCACCGCTGATTCTTTGAATAATGGATCCACATCATTTGTTTGCGTGTTGACTATCTACTGAAGTGACGATTTCTCACGTGGAATTCCCACCCACGTTGTGAAACTTTTCTTCCTCCAAGCTACTTATAGATTGTTAGTAGTGTGATGAGACCCAATAACTTTCAGGTGAGATTTCGTTTCTGTCGGGCAATCAATCCTGAAAAGCTGAGAAGAATCGTTTGGATGCTTTATTCTTATTGCGAGGTAACAGTAATGTGCAAGCATTACTTTTCCGACATAGGTCATCAGCACAAATCTCAAATGAGCTGAGCTGGCATGTCACAGATTTGCAACTTTTCGTCAGTAAACATACGGTGGCCGGTAGTTACTGGAAATGACGGTCTTGTTGTTTTTTGACTCGTAATATTTTCCAAAGAGTATAAGGAGCGGTCTTTGGTTGAGTATATAGATCACAATTCCTTATAAGTGCTTATCGGTAATCAGTTCTAGAGCTGGTGATATCCTCGTACACTTGGGAAGCGACGGCCAATGAAGCTTAGTGCAACCTATTTGTTTTGAAAGGTAAGCAACAAAAAATCCCGAGTAGGAGGGGTTAGGTTAGTGTTAAGTTCTTTTGGTTCACTGGCAGGATTCTAATTAACTCCTGTCATCTACTGAATGTCACGTGAGTCACTTGCAGCAGATACATATGAAAATGATGATGGCCATTATGGTGACAAGTGAACAATGTTGCTTCTTGCATTAACGATACCGATGGGCCTGGGGACATTACATACAGTAGTACAAAATGGTTTACTTTGTGCGTCCAACGTATCTCTAATCTCCTTTCAATTCCAAGGCCGTACGCATCCTGCACCTACGCGCAGCTAGAGGTGATGAGAAATCATAGTAACCTCGCACTATGCGAAGAGGTGGTGTTGTGCGAGGTATTTGAGTTTCTTCCGTTTGAAGGAAGTGAGCCGAACTTCAAGTGCTATAGTAATGCATGGTGTACATAAATAACAGTACCTCGACTCAGACAGTGACGGAAATGAAGTTTCACCTATTATCTTAGAGGATGAATACGCATGAAGACTTCACGGTTAAGCACGATTGCGTTTACATTCGTGCTCCTCATTAGAAGGGTTGGATTTGTCATAAAAAAAGCCGCTACACCACCATCCACTGGTGGCGCAAACTGCGGTTATAAACGTTCCAGCCCTTAAATCATCAGAATTACTTTATCAGTCCGCATGAAACACAATGGTTCCTTGATAATATCTAATGGACTTAAACTCTTAGACAGAAGGTAGCCTACTCGGTGACACTAAGTGATTGGCTTATGGCCACTTCTAGACCTATAGAAGCTTGGAGGCTGAAGCCAACGTTTGTCTAAGCTTGAAGAAGATCTCGGTATGTCATTCGATCCGGAAATCGTTTTATGGAAGAAGCGGCTATGTATCTGGCGACGTGGCAACCGTCAGCCGTGTGTCACTAAAATGATCCCTCGAGTTTCACGGAGTTATCGAAAACTGATTTCCACCGTGGAAATTAAGCAAATAGTTTCTAGCTGGGAGAGTTGCTTCATAAGTGGTTATCCTTTCCACACTTATGCTCTTGATATCGTTCTATTATTTCAGATCAACCGGATGCCACAAAAACTCAGTTACACCCACCCACCCCCGGTTCTGTGTTCAATATTGAGATCATTTTATACAGTGGTTTCAGAAGAGCTCAACAATGGAGGATTGCTTTGGGGAGACCAAGATGTTCCTCCAAAACAATGTGCCTGAGACCAGACACAATTTTTTAGTGTTCCCTGTTTTTACAGAAATAAGTACTATCTTAATTCGAAATGTATCATACGCAATGCTCCAGAAACATCCCGGCCGAATTACTCTAATCAAAGGTCTCAAATTAGATTGAGATATCTAAGTTTGAACCCCATGTTTCCGTTAACCCGAATTATCGGATACCGTTTACCGATCAGTGAAGTGTAGCCATCGATCGCGATTCACCTAATAGGCCTAATAACGCCGTTTACTCTAACGCTTGTTCTACACCCAGAATATCCGTACGTTCGCGGTCAAAATGCCTACCAATAAGTCAATGCCGTTCATTGAAAGCGTGTTTGGTGAATAGCTTAAACGAGCTTTATACCGAATTCCGCAGCATTAGCTTTTGACTAACTAAATGGCTCCATGCGTAGCAAGTATATCGATTTGAATTCGGTTCAAATTAGAGTCTGTTGAGTTATCCTCCTTTAAGAACCCGTAGTAACTACTTGCCTCCGTGCCAAACACGAACAGTGTTAAGACTAGCATGGCAGGAATAGCCGTCACAAGTTAATCAAATGGGTGCGATGGTGTCACCTAGGTGGCCCATGCTTATACATAAATATTCCCACACTGAAAGGAACGAAGGTTTTTGCATCGGGTAAAATGGAAAGCAAAACGTCAACACCCGAGCATAGCCACAACAGATTGCAAAGATTAAACCCTAATTCTTCAGGGAATCCACCACTTCCAGGCCTCCCGTTTTCGATAGCAATAACTATTACGGAGCTCCATCTATAATCCATTGAAAAATTCACCCTAAAAATTCACGTTCATTTCTGAGCATAACACACCGTTCGTAATGTTGCTCAAAGCGCTCCGGCACCCAACAACTGGTTTCAATCTTTTTGGTGCTCATGTCATAGGTGCGATCCTGGAGAAGCTGTGAGCCTGATGTTCCACATCCGACAAGTACTCTTGTTTGCATAAGAATTTGTTTCTGATAGGAGATTCAAATGTACCTAGTTGAATCTGCCATTTATGATGGTCCACTTCAAGTGGGTGTACTGAAGCAGGCAGCCTTATGTTTCAGCTGGTACGATACATGAAACAACGCAATACATTGCTGGCTAGACATAACACACTATTCATGAGGTAGATGAAAGCACTTTGACAGCCCACGACAGATTTCGCCCATGCTAATGCTGAATTGACAAACCCAAGTGGTCGAAACTACACATCCCATATGCACAGGCTCCCTAATGGACCGTCTTCCTTGATTTACGTGTGAGTAGCATATCCCCCCTCGCTTGTGCTTCTGCCCTACTGTATTAGAGCATGGTCTGGCGTCCCGGAAATA